GCATGGAAGGCAGTGTCGATCAGGTTGGTTCAGCTCAGTTTGTGAGTAAGTTTGATCTGCTGAAGGGGTATTGGCAAGTTCCATTGTCTGAGAGAGCTAGGGAAATTTCTGCTTTTATCACTCTCTCTGGTCTGTTCTCTTATTCTGTTAAGAGTTTTGGATTGTGAAATGCACCAGCAACGTTCCAGTGACTTRCGAACATGGTTGCGTCTGGATTAGAGGGTTGCGCCGTATATCTCGATGATGTTGTGGTCTTCAGTGAAACGTGCAAAGAACATTTGGACCATATCGGCATGCTGTTTGGAYGATTAGCTGAAGCACGCTTGACCATTAATTTGACCAAGTGTGAGTTTGCCAAGGCCATGGTTACCTATTTAGTTAAGGTGGTGGGACAAGGGAAAGTCCGGCCAGTGGAAGCCAATGGTGACTGCAATTGCACAGTGTTCTGTGCCAGCAACAAAAAAAGATCTCCAGCGGTTTTTAGGCCTTGTGGGTCATTACCGCAGTTTCTGTAAAAACTTTTTTACTGTGGTCGCTCTTTTGACAGAGCTGATGAAACATAGGGTGAAGTACATCTGGTCACCCTCGTCAGAAAGCTTTTGATTATGTTAAATCTGTTCTCTCCCTGTCCTTTCAGCTCCATGCATGGATCGTCCTTTTAACCTGCATATGGATGCTAGTGATGTAGGTGCTGGTGTGGTGCTATTTCAGAGTGATGATTGTGGGGTCGATCGACCTGTGAGTTTTTACTCCAAAAAATTCAACAACTTTCAGTTGAATTACTCTGTTATTGAAAAAGAGACGCTTGCACTCATCTGGGCTCTACAGCATTTTGAAGTGTACCTGGATTCAGGTAGCATTCCCCTGGTGGTCTATACAGACCCTCTCCAGTCCACTAGGTGTCTCTATTTTCTTTCTTTCWGGGAGTTGGCGGATGTACGCTCAGGTTGGGGCTTAAAAGCCAGGTTTCATGCTCGTTACAGTAGCTGGGTCGTGGCCTCCAGGTTGGACCTCCATCTCGGTTGCACCTGATGGGAGCAGGCAGCGGACTTGTGCTCATGGGATGTAGCTGACAATTTTAAAGTTTTGGGCTCTTACACCTGAAACTTTTGCAGGTACCTGAGAAAGTTTAAGGATGTTCCTGAGAAAGTTTAAGGATGTTCCTGAGAAAGTTTCTTCGGGATGATCCTGAGAAAGTTTCTTCGGGATGATCCTGAAAGAATTTCCTCAAGGAGTTTGAGGATGACGATCCTGAAAGAGTTTGAGGATCATCCGCAAACTCTTTCAAGACGACCCTCAAGGATGATAATTGATTATAATTATAATTTGCAAATCATCATATTCTGTTTTTATTTACGTTTTACACGTCGCAAAGTGATTGAAATTGGTTTTGCAAATTAAACGCAGGAAACATGAAGGTAAAAACTTTATTGCTCACGATTTTCAGTCAGCTCAAATTACAGACGACATGAGGTACAGTTTAACTGAGCTGTATTCATTTTTAGCTAAAATACCAAAACCTTTGAAAATCCCAGGTATTTGTTTAGGCTATATATAGTACAAAGTTATGGCTTGTAACAAATCAACTATGATGACGAATTAGTTTAAAAACCACTTAAAATGATACATTTAAAAATAACATTTACTGAGTTATTATAAAGTCGTGTCGCCAGATTAATTGTGGAACTACTACAAAACATTTAATCCCTAATAATATGGGCATTACTTAAGCTCGGTTTCCAATTTTACATTTCAAACTTTGTCCWGACTTCAGCTCCCAACGTTGTTGGACATAAATGGTTGGACTGATGGGATCTGAAGCCCCTAAAAAACAGAGAAAGGGAATGTGTTTAAAAAAAAACAAAGATTTAAAAAGCAATCATGAACGTCTTTGTTTGGAAAACTTAAATTCTCAGTTGCCAATCAAATTAGCCTATTGTGGACTACTTCCTAGATGATAAAAATAAGATTTAAAATGTGAGACTGCACAAATAAATGATTCAGTTCAAATTAAACCATTCTTTCTTGTTTTCAATAATAAAACCTTGTATTCACATGGAAATTGTAAATATAAACTGCTGCTGCAACTTTTGTTTGTCCATCAAAACTGGTATTGAGCTCTGGAAGATAWTGTTTAATTAAAAACAAGGGATCGATTTGAAGAAAGTATTTCAGGCGAACAAATTGTAAAAAAATATTATTGAGGGAAAATATTTTTGCAAAATCTGCAACACGAAAAACCCTTCTAACAGAGACAAAAAAATGCAACCACTGACTTGATGAACTTTAGTTGAAAGTGCTTTACCTCTCTGTAAAAATAAACCTTACAACAGTGACTAAGGCAAACAATGACAACAAAAAGTATGGACAAAAATAATAAAGCCAGTGTGGAAGGAAAAATGATACAGACWACAGAAAGGCTCACTCATCCCTGAYGTGTYRGAGAGACTTTGAACCYAGCTGGTTTTACTGAGGTTCCTGCATGAGAAAGGAACCTTGGTCCCACAGGAGCAGGCTGCTGCAGGTACAACTTTCAGGAAGTGACCCACTCAAGATGGCCACCAAAGTATTTGGCACTAAACATTACAGATGTAAATGTCAGCTGGAGGCAGAACAGCCTAAAGGCCCCGTTCGTTTCAGTGTCCGGTTTCAGGCATCCTTTTGTAGAAGAGCAGGTAAGGTGTGGACGAGGAGCACGTCTCAGGAGAACAGGCTCGCAGGAAGTCCTCCTCCTCAAACAGACGCACTTCAGAGTCATCGAAAAGCAGCCATTTACCCTCATATTCCAGGAGATAATTCAACGGCTGCTTATCTGTTGCCTCTGTCGGCCCTGAGGACGTCATCGAAGGCTCTTCTGCAGCCTCCGGCTCTTTTTTAAGTCCACTGTCAGTGTTTAGCCTGGAGCTGTTTATGGTTTTCCTCCTCTTTGATCCCTCTGCTGCCCCGCGACCGGCTGATTTTTCGGCTTGTTTGCTGTTGCTGTTTGCCAGCTTGCAACTGGACGTGCTCCTCTGTCCTCCCAGGAGTCCGAC